AATTTATACATGACCAATGGATAGAAGGTGTATTGGTTCGGATAATGCAATTGGGAATGAGAAAATTCCTTATGAAAACATAAATGAAAAATATAGTATAACAATTTTTCATTTAAGACTTCATTTTCGAGAAAATTTAGCTTGATAATGCACAGCTGCCTTTTATTTCTAATTTATGTTTGCCCAAGGAATCTATTCACGTCCGGTTATACTACTCAAACCGTTGTAACCAATATATAGAAATTTTCGATTGAAGTGTCACATGTTGTCGCTTAAAATCGCAACTATTTTAATAATTTTCTTAATTAAAGTTACCTGAGTATATAATATCAATAATCTTATTTAATTATATAATTTCTTGTCACACTCTTTCTCACAGTGTAATAAACATTGAACCGTGTACCATTAATTAAAGTCATTAATTAAAGTCGTATAAAAGTGATGAATCGTTAGGAAATCAATAATAATATATAAATGACAACTTCATGAATCATTTGACAGACATCTCACCTTCGAGACACAAGGTGGAGCTTGTTCGATTCACGGCGCGACAAGTGTAATAGGTGGGGCACCCTCTAGGCGTGAACCTCAAAGTGTACTAGACAGTATGCATGTAGGTAGGCAGGTAGGTCGATTGTAATTATTCTATTGTGTAATGTGTTATTGCTAACTGCGCAACCGTCTAACACAAATGATTAACATCAAAGCTAATTACATATCTTTTCACAGCTGAATATCCTGTGCAACCTCCTCTCCTTTTTTCGTCCCCTCTCTCTTCTTCGTTCGTATCTCACTCGTTTCCGCGCACACACACGCGCACTTTTAAACCGGCGTTTCTTTGTTAGCAGGTAGATTAATCGTTCGAATAGCGATCCCCTTCATATCTTTTATCATTCAATTTTTAATCGACGCAGTTTGTTTAAAAATTTACTGACACGGAACAATTCTTTCGTTCGAGTTCAACTGTCTTTAGTGTCCCATTTGCTGAAATTGTACTATGAATCGTTTCACATTTACGATTTGCGGAAATTCAATAAGAGAACTTGAATGATATTTTATTTCTGTCAAATTTTCTACTTTCTGAAACTGTTACTAAGAAGAAATTAATGTTCTCCTCTAACTCACTTTCGAAATTTTGTATTTTGACTTTTATTTTTACTCTTATATTTACTTTACTTTGCATGTAAATTTCCGTAACAATTCATAGTTCATTTTTTACTTAAAAAATGCCTTTTGGGCGCGGACAAGTGTTGTTAGCAAGATGTTAATCGAAAGCGTGCGTCAAGTATGTGTCATCTAATGAGAAGTCTAGTGTATAATCTATATTTCTGAGAAATTAATACACTGGTGTCATATTTAATAAGAAGAGTAAAATATACTTTGTCGAACTGCATATAAAGGAAATACTCAAGTATATATACATTTACGTGTGACGTAAAGTAGTTTGTAGCTAAACTGTTTTTTACACTAATTAATTTTCGGTATAAACATTTCATCACTTTCTTGTGTATGTACTTTTTTATATAATTAATGGAAAATAATATATATTCTATTGTTTATAACAGTATTCTATATTTATTATATAAATATTAAGGATAAAGGTGCCCTGCAAGTCGTTGAAACTCCCGTGTTTCTGGATCATACACGTGCATCACGTGATTACTAGGCTAGTGCCAGAATATCGACTCAATCTATAATTTACTAGCACCTAATGTTTATTTTCACATTATAAATACTGATAAAATATTTAAAATATATGTACCTAACTGTATGAAATATAACTAAATTTCTCATCATTTTTATATTACTTCGGTTATATTAAAATTTTTCAGGCAGAAAATAATGTTCTATTTAATATAAGTTATCAGAATTCTAATCTCGAAATCTGAAAAGAAATCTACACCGGTATCAAATCGAATACAATCGGCATAAGATTATCCTACATGCAGAAGGAAGTACACAATTTTTTTCTTCTCAAACTCTTTTTTCGATAAAATCGACTTTGAAAACATGTAGAATACCCATTAGTATTCCAGAATCATTAGGCAGAAGAAAAAACGACGAGTCATGTTTAAACGTGTTAGCCAATTTTCATTCACTGGCACGAGTACCTGACGAATTTAGAAAGTTGTTTTTTTTCAAACACGAAATCCTAAAGAAAAAACTAAAACCTTAACGAAAAAGAAGAAAATGATACTTTTATTTTCTTCTACTGAATTACTATATCTTTTTGTTGATATATTGTTAGGAAACAATATAAATTTGATTATATCTTGTACGAAGTGTGATTTGTGAGAACTCAACCTTATAGGATTGCATGTCAAATTACGATATAAATGGCTTATCGCTGTCTCGTACAGGTACTTCCACTTCCGTAGCCAGACCTACTCCGCTTTCCGCTTGTTGGTAGCGGTTCTCAATGGTACTAAAAACTGTTAGTAATATCAAAAGTCCTTTAATAACCGAAATTCTAACATTTTGAGCGACCAGCACATGGACTTTGGGAAGAGTGTTACTATCGTGCACAAGATGATAAATTATTAAAATCATTTCAAATTATATTTATATGACAAGTAAACAGGTACAAAGATATATAATAGGGATACGTATTAGTTGATAAAAGGATACTGACATAGTCAGTTTTTTGCTATATTTTCATACGAAATGTAGAAAATAACATATTATGACAAAATAAACTTTCAGTGCTATAATTATATATAGAAGTAATTATTGATATAGAAACGTTAACAATTTACCACTCAAAGGTGTGGGAAAAAAATGAAAATCTAATATGTAAAGTATTGACACACTGGTCTACGTAACAATCAGCTTATTATAGGAAAAACAAAAAAAAATATATTTATATTTAGATATAAAGTTAGTAAACATTTAGATATCAATATTATGTTACTAGGTTTTTAAATATGTAAATATTTACTATTTTTAAAAGTGTGTAAATGTGTAAAATACGCGAGAAGATTTATGATAGAAAAGAATAGTACAAGATGAATGTCGATTTGTTGTCAAAACATTGCACGAGGATTATTAACATTAGGTTTACAAATATTTATTGTACAGTTCATCCTATTGGTCTTCGAAAACTCGAGCTCGTTCATTTAGATTTTGAAAATCAGAAGTTTAAAGGTAGACAATTAAAATACACGTTTGTGTTATTGCATCAATCAAAATTGACGTAAACATTTACTAAATAATGTTTATGAAATTCGATATGCGTCAAATTGACACGTTCCGTAAAACTAATGGTAAAATCGATTTCGCATCGACTCAAATGATTATTCCTTCACACTCAAAAGTTTTTCACTAGAAATATTTAACATTTTTTAATGAGACAGATGATATTTCTTAGCTATTTTAGCTCAACATTTCAAATATTGTCGCATTACACAAAGGTTAATATTAATTATCAAGCTTTGTAATTTTACTGTATCAAATTAGGCGGTGACTGAGAGTCGTCTCTCGAATGCAAATGGTTAACTTATTTCAAACACTACTTCGGCCCTAGTTTCCCCGAAATCCTAATTATAAGGGACTAAGATTTAGATGATTATGTAAATAAAATGAACCAGACATCAATGAATATTTAAACCTTTATATTTTTCAGTAGAGTGCAATATCAAATTCACCTACTGAAAAAAAATTTAATAACCCGCAACAAAACACAATTTTTTATAAAGAAAGTAGTTTACGCCAAGACGAAACCTATGTCTAACAAACGACATAAAATACTGAAAGAAATCAAAATTATGTTTTTTCCGTCAGAAATGTTGTTTCTGTGTTGTCGATATAAATACTCTGAATAAAATGCCGAATTAAAATTTTAATTTGCTGTTCTGAAATCGTAGATTGGGACTGGTTATAGCACGCAGTACTTGTTAACACTAACCATACCGCGAATCCATCCAATGACCAGTTTTACAATTTCATTCAAAATTCTGCTTTCTCATTCGTTCGTTTAACATTATATCAATTTCTATATTGTCCGATTATTCAGTTTTTCAATTTGTGTTCTTCCGTTTGTTTCTGTTTTCACTAAGAAAAATTGATCATCTAACCCGTTTGCCTTTCTTTTGTAGTCAGTTATTTGTGTGTACAGTATGTATAAAGTACATAGAAAGTGTCGGTACGGTTAATAATAAAACATTTATGATTGAAGAATTAATACTATTTAAAGTATAGTTAGTAGAAGGTGGGAGCAAGCACCGCTACGGTCTAGAGGAAGCGTGTTCAACTACCATGTCGAAGGTCAGGGTTTAGTTCTTGGCACATCTACAGCGATTTTCATTCAATTACTTTCTTTTTGCTCGCTCATTTATATAAAATAATTAAATTTCACATGTAAACGCGTTTGAAATTTTTATTTATCACCGAAATTTTCAACTAATTCTCCATATATACAAATACAAATGTAATTCTCATAATTACACACAAGAATGATATTTATCATATTAGCAGAGAAAGTATAGTTTAGAAACTAATATTTTCTATGTAACGGTATGTAGTATTTTGTTTGATTAGTTATTTTAGTACACTTGTAATACAATTTATTATGTGGCGAATTGAAAGAAAAGAAATTGAAGGAAATGGATAACGGATGTGAAAGGAAGTCTGCCTTAGCTCAGGTATACTGTAAGAAGTATTAAAATTGGATCCTACTGAAAAATATTGCATATCTGATCTGATATTGTAATACTTTCATAAATAAAATGAAACGACTACAATTGCGTAAAGTTTGAACCAAATCTTTGTACAATACTTATTCTCAACCTCTTAAATCTGATTATGTGACATTTCAAAATTTGATCTATTTTTGCAATGTAAACCTTAGTATTGTGTCCAATGTTTTTCAGACTTGGTGTTTTAAAATCCTCCCTTTTAACGAGATCATAATGAATTATATATTTCAGTGATTTTCATATAGTTTGATTGATATATATATTTTACATCATTGACATATTATGAAAACTTTAACTCGCATTTATTATTTTGTTAACAATAAGAATTAGTGAAATACTTTGTTCCTAAGCGTCAAATATAATAGTATTAATTACAAAGCAAATCAAAATCTAAGAAGTGCATAGCAAATACTCGATATGTGCCTCAAACGTAATGGACTATAATTTAAAATCATAAGAAACACCTAGTCATTAACAGGAATAATATCTCGCATAGGTATTTATCTTTGTATATACAAAAATTGAAGTAACACTGTTTTTTTTTAACTAAAATTTATTCTTCATTCTTATTATTATTATTGACAGACTGCCACATTATTCCGACATTTTGCATTTTTGTCCACTGATCCAAACAACAAAAGTTATAGACAATTAAAATGATACGTAAATTTTTAATTGGTTTTTTT